CGCCGAGCCACGCGTTATCCTGGAAATTTGACGACCACTCTCATCGTCCATGTAACATCGTTCACGCGTTTCTTTCATTCCACTTTGCGTCTCAGTTCGAAAACTGGATATGATCCACTGATATGATGGATATGATAAAACGTAAATCAAGTAAGTTATATATAACTTGAAAAAAAAAAGATAGTTTACCATAGCGATGTATCATATTCATTATATACATCCAAACAAAATAAATAGCGAAAAGTTATTATAAAAAAGAAAATAATGCATAGATTAGTTAAAATTCTAATTGTCTAAAAGTGTGTTATCATTTTCTAATTTTGCTTCAATTTTACTGTAAAGTTTCATCAACAAAACCAATAGCTTCCTGAGATTCGTTCGCTTATTGTATTCATATGCAAATCGTGTCTGTGTTACGTTCTGGAGAAAGGAGAGATTAAATTATGCGATTCAAAATAAATAATCACTACACCGGCATTCGACAACTACGATACTATGAAGAGACACGCGAAAGAATTTCCGGGAGAGAATAAAATCATAGTAATTTTTATACACACGATATGACAAGATCGATCTAAGGAACATCTGGTATTATAAAACGCTTTTCGAGAACTGAAATATTTGCTCACGGAGCATCGTTCCAGGAGAACGCGTCGCTTTATAATATCGTTGAACTAGCTTGGTTGCCTTCGCGAACGCGAACCCTTTTATCTCTTTGAAGCTGGTCGGGTTAGAGAGCAGGCCCCGCTTAATGCAATAACGTTAATGCATCACCAGACGATTTTTATTTCGTCCGCACAAAGCAGGCCGGCCTTGAAGCGCGGCCGGAAACAAGGTGGATCGGTGTTATTGCAAATCTCCGAGCAGTGAATCGCGTTAGAGGAAAGGATGGAGTAAAAAACAACTAAAGCTCGTCGATAATCGTTGAACATAACACTCCAACAAATAGGTTTCCAACGTTAAAGGTTTCATTTGTTGTCGAACGACTCTCGAATCGAATTTCTCGCTGAATTCTACTATCGTTACAACCAGGGTAGAAAATAAGTAGTTAAAGTAAGTTAAAGTCGAATCGAACGCGATAAACGGAAGGGATGAGGTGGGAGGCGCAAGACCCGTGAGAACCCTCCAGGAAACCGGAAGTGTACGAAATTAGTCCAATTTCGTGCGCGACAAGTGGAAAAACGTCGGCCACTGGCAGTGGCGACTCCACTCTCGAGGGCACACGCGTGCCGCAACGGGAATCCGCTAGGTGACTCGCGTGTGTATTCACCGCTTAAACCCCGATTAGCCTGCTAGAGGGCCTAATAACGAGTAATACCCTAGCCGCGTCATCGAGTTTAAACAGATTTCGCAACAGCTTGCGATCTCTTATGCATATACGTTCGGACTGACTTGACTGCCTGTTTGGCTGCTGATTCCCCTTTAAAACCTAACCAAATGTTCCAACATAGGTGAATTACCATTTGTACGAAACTCAATTCGTTCCTCAATCTACTAAATTGTTTCTCGTTTCCTTGATTTTAGACGAAATTGGTTCACGGCCACCGAGAACGTGCAAAGTTTAAGGAAGATCGTTTGAAATGGACAAACGACTCTATATATATGTATATATAGATGGCGTAAGGAAGTGGTAAGGAGAACGAACAGCTTGTTTTCTACACGTCGATAAATCTGCGGCTTCTTATCTGTCAGCAGAAGATTACAGCGATCGTCCGGCGATGTTGTAACAGCTAACAGCCAATGATATATTGGACGAACGAACATTGCTAGACATTTCTTCAATGACGAGTGTACCATGTGATCTAAACATACGACGACGCGTTCCTCGAACGTCATCACTTCGACCCGTGATCCTCGGACACATTGGTCGCACAGTGTTGTCAAATTCAACCTCGAGGAACTTACGCGTTAGTAAATATTATTTACGAGCGTAAGTAGTACGTTCGGTTTAATAAGACAGAGCTGCTGCACGAGCCGAGCTATCATTGTAAATAAGTTGTACATAAATCAATGAACGAATCCACTATCGTCCCGTTGCTTTGTCTCGAATGGAATCAAAGGACTCGTAAAGCTGTTTCCTGATACTCAAGGAATATTTAGACACGGTTGACTCGTAATTATGAATCGTAATAATGCTGGATTAAATAAACATTTGTTGTACAGAGCCTAGAGAAGTTTTTCTAAAGGTCGTGTACTTTGATCGAAGGATGTAGAAGGTTTCAACGAGATCTTTTAATCAATCGAGGCTGATTTAATTTAGTCGAGAGTTTCGAGATCGGAAACACGGTAAAAGTTTCCCTGTCGTTTGTACCTTAACGATTAAAACTTCAAAATACTTGGGCTGCTGAGCAACGCAAACTCGTAGGCTGACACACCGGCCGCACACCTACGTATTTCTAAATAAGTCTTATTCGTAGGTTGGCTGCACCGTGGAAGCGAAACTTATATCTTCCTCGATCTATCCGTCCGCCAAACCATTCTCGCTCGTATTATTATCTAAACGCGAATCTTCACCGCCAGCGAAGAAAACAACTATCGTAGCGTTGCGAACCGTAAGCATTGTATATGAACTGTGTACTATTTTCGAAAGACTACACCTACCTACGAATGAAAAATAATCAGTCATGGTAGCCGCCCATCGTACTTTTCATCATTGAGGAGCATCTACGGGTAAGTACTCGGCGACACCCCGCAGGATGCTGCAGCTGAAAATCCTCTCAAGCACTGCAATCGCCGGCAGGAGTTCCCCCCGAGTATGTAACCGGTCCCAAACACATTTGCCCGCTTTGGTCTTACGCCACAGACTATACTCTATGCAGCACATAAATCCCGCATGAAACCGGGCTTACCATGGCTACGATCCTAGTGCCAAGGTATTACGATTCACCACGTACTACTAGACCGTGCCTACCGTGACACGTATATCTTTGAATAAATAAAAAGCATTAGTTTGTTTACAAGATGTATCAAAGTTATTGATGCAGTTATTGAATGAATGGATATTGGTTAGGTTCACGTCGATTCATCGCAACTATATTACATATATCTCGATTCTTGTTTAACCGAAAATTACTCTTCCGTGTAACATGTGGCACCGCGTGTGTCGATACGTAAACGCACGTATACACACGATACTCGAGTGAAAAACACGTGCATATAGGTTATGTACGCGGTACGCGAGAAAGAGACGATGAGAGAAACCGAGCGTAGAAGTAAAGAGACAGGAACAAGTGTAAAGAGAAGGAGAGAAGCAAAGAAGACAGTAAGCTAGTGAACGAGCAACAGAGAAAGAGAGACTATAAGGACTACTGCCGTTTTATTGGCAGAGGTGAACGACACTGCCTACTGCAAGGTGGATGCCTGTATTTCGCATAACCGCTCGTCGTTGGAACGTGCTATGAGTTTATGGGTCACTACGTACTGTTTTCAAGCACCTTCTTACGAAAATAGTATGAATTCGTTGAATCGAAAATGTGTTGACATCGGAAAGTCGTCAATGTTTGCCTTTATTATGCTTTGTTCACTTGTGTCTTGTAGTTAAAAAAAAACATTATTTCTGGATAATACAATTTCATTATTACATCATGTAATATAGCTATTTCTTGTAAAAATAAGAATCGATAAAATAAGTGTTCTCGCGTTACAAACATTGATGATAACAATTACCAAATAACTGACTTACATTAAAACACGCACTCGTTGTATACACCTCTTAATTTCAATGCATACACATACCCCTATGAGATCACCACATAAACGTGCAGCGACCTTTTTAAAAATTAAGAATTCATTTCACGTACAACTTCTAACTGCAAAAGATTGTACAGGTTATGTAAGAGCAATTCGAAGAACGAACAACAGAGGGGAACGGCCTGATCAACAAGAGTGGGTTCTGAATTTAAGAATAATCTGATTTCGTTAACATTTGTTTAACGACTTACCAATCAACAAGATAAAACATCAGAGCAAGCAATAACAATATATGACGTACAGTAACACGTACATAATGTGACAGAGATTCATAAAAACAGTGTATGTAAAAATACATACATATGTACATACATTTGAATTTTAGTTTTTAATTCATATAGAATTATGTGACTGCTTTCTAAACTCAATAATGAGCAATATTTGCAATTAAATTTTTCGGAAAATCGCCACTATAAAATAAAAAATTTATCTATCTTTTGCGTTATGGTCATCGGCAGTTATACACGAAATTTATATTACAGGAAAATCGGTCGAGTAACGTGAACTGACCTCTGCTTTGCCGCTCCTCATCGATTTTCTGAACATACGTCAATACGAAGTACGCCAGACACGTATTCATGGAATTAAATACTACCTTCTTTTTCAATAGTCGATAAATAGAAATTTCTGTCAGTTTGTATAGCAGCCATGTTAAATATGTAAAGAATGAGAAATAAGATATTTTCGGTACAAACGTGCTTATCTCTAAATATTTTGAGGTTAGCTTCGGTAATTTTACGTTATCTTTATATCGAGCAATCTAATGTATAATATGAGAAAGCAATGTAAACTGCGCATTACTTAATGCTTATCTGACATTAAACATTAAATATTAATATTGTATTGTCTTATGTTCAATGTATTTCTATAAAATTTGTATCAACTATGAAGAATTCATTTGATACACTCATTTAATTATTTGATCATACAATTAGTGAAGGATGTGAGAATTATATAAAAAAGAATTAAAAAAAGATTAAAATGAAATGTATCTCAGAAATGTATATGTTGAAATCATCACCTGGTAACTTTGTTTACCACACCAGGGTATAATTCCATTTCATCTGTATATTATGATTGCTCAATAAAATTACAAATATATTTCCAATTGTATAACTTCAAAAATGTTTGACCGCCGTACTTAATAAGTAGATGTATCATTATAATAATCACACTGTAAATATAATTATGTTAAATGTACTATATACAGCACATATTACTTCCAAAAATTAAAAAAATATATAATCAAAGACAGTATATATTTTACATTCTCACATCTTAAAATCATTGAAGATAGATTCGCTTAGTCGTAGCATAGGAAAGCTTATATTAAGTCAGACATAACATATTCGTATTATTATGTAATATCTCTGTATAATGGAACCACTGAATAATCTATCTCTGTATAGATGTTATAATATTATAGCTCATACTAACTACAACATCAACGATGTTCAAATAAAGCAATAAATTTAATAATTCCGTGTACTTTAAGTGGTTACAAGAACATATAAGAATATGATCATTTTTTTGCTTCGTCTGAACTTGCTTTATATCTTTAAATTTAGATGAGTATTCAGAAAACTTTAGATGTAAATTCACAATATTACATTATACCCTAGAGATATTACTCAAATAAATCATGATGAAAAAGATTATGAGTGTTTCTAATAGCTCTTATATTCACGTGTCTCAATAGTATCTTTGTAATATTATGACAAGAATGTGAATGCAAGGAAAGTCCAAGGGAGTAAATAAAGTATAGAATATCTGAACTAACCTTTGAGCTGCGGTAATTGTTGTAGCTCAACATCTTGGGAGTTACGATAACGAGATGAACCCTGTGATTTTTTGGATTTCTTCTTAAGAGATCTCTTGGCAAAGGGATCTATCCGGTCCACAAAAGTCGCTGACGACATGTTGGGATTAGCAGAGGCACTATGAGAGCTGGAGGGAAGTGAAATGCTGGAGGCACTTTCGTGCCTCGGCTGCACTTTTTCGGCGTTGGACGCGACTAAAGAAGATTGCATCCACCCTGAGGAGGTCGCATTCCGTGTCGAAGAAGATGAACTCACTACACACACAAGGAGAAAGCAACACTACACGATTACGAAGCGCACGTGGTGTACTTGAACACGGTAACCTACTGGTTCAGAGGTTCCTGAAGCAGAGAGGGGTGAAAATTGATAGTAATGCGCGCATAGCACGAGTTTTTCCGCGTAACAGAACTGAACGTGTTTTAATCGGAGGATGTTTGTCAAACGACGAGATCCATCAAGTTCACAGTTCGATAAAAATTCGTTGAACAATTGCCAGAGGTGGTTCTTGTATCGGTCGAGAAAAGGGGCGCGATCGCTTGTTAGGCGTTGTCACACGCGAACGCACGCCCCGTCGTACGTCGAATCTCCCACCTACACTGTGCAACACACAAGCGGCACCGTGTCTTTTTCTTGATCGTATGTGGATTATGCGTTACCTGAAACCACGACCGGCCGTTTGGTCTGTGGCTCACTTGTTCGATTTTTCTCCGTTCGAACAAATATTTGATTCACGCCACCGGGAGACTGTGGAACGGCTGGCAGGCTTACCGTACCGTGCCTGCGTGTCGGATACCAAGTCGTGAAACAAGCACCGTTACGAAATAGCTTGTAACTCCTTTAGAAACGGTGTTTCGCCGCGTGAAATCTATTCCACAGAATTATCTTCCTTCCGCACGCGGTAGCCGCACTCCGCTCGCGCAGCTAAACGCACACACTCACTTAAACGCTTCGATGAGGGACACTGAGGCTCGAACAGCACTCGGCCGCCATCAGCTGCTCGGACCGACGAGCTTCTTTCATTTTTGCCGGAACGACCGACAGACCGTCAGGCGCTAAGTCCTGCCGAGACCTCTTCCAACATTGTACCTTTTATCACGCGTACACAAGATACTACAATTTCGGCATCTACCGCACGTAAAATTTAAATTAAAAAGAAAAAAGGATCCTTCCACCGTCGCCCTCTTCACTTATTGAAAACCCGTCAAGAGGTGCCTTGTGTGCCTGAAAATAGTAATGTGCACTCGACAATCATCGGCCGGAGATTCCCGATCAAATACGAACATCCACGATCGCCCTAGATCGCGCCACTTTACGAATCTTTACCGTTTTCCCATTGCGCCATTGCTTTTCCGCTAGAAACATTCCAATTTGTATTTAAACAGTAGTATCATTAACATTGTTTTAAACTTTCGATTAAACGTTATACGTATTTTTATTTAATGTTTTTTTACTGTTGTTTATCGTTAATGTAACATATCTTTTACTCAATTGCTTTCGTTTCTATGAACTTGCCTTAATAAAACCTGTTAAAGCTATAATACATCTACATTACATAGTTGGTACTTTTATATAGGGAAAATAATATAGAAGATAAAAACTGATAAAAGTTTATGAATTTGTTCTTAAAATTTTCTAATATGATGCATTATATATTGTACAATGTTAATATATATATATACAATATAATATATATATATATATATATATATATATATATTATATTGTATATATATATATTAACATTGTACAATATATAATGCATCATATTAGAAAATTTTAAGAACAAATTCATAAACTTTTATCAGTTTTTATCTTCTATATTATTTTCCCTATATAAAAGTACCAACTATGTAATGTAGATGTATTATAGCTTTAACAGGTTTTATTAAGGCAAGTTCATAGAAACGAAAGCAATTGAGTAAAAGATATGTTACATTAACGATAAACAACAGTAAAAAAACATTAAATAAAAATACGTATAACGTTTAATCGAAAGTTTAAAACAATGTTAATGATACTACTGTTTAAATACAAATTGGAATGTTTCTAGCGGAAAAGCAATGGCGCAATGGGAAAACGGTAAAGATTCGTAAAGTGGCGCGATCTAGGGCGATCGTGGATGTTCGTATTTGATCGGGAATCTCCGGCCGATGATTGTCGAGTGCACATTACTATTTTCAGGCACACAAGGCACCTCTTGACGGGTTTTCAATAAGTGAAGAGGGCGACGGTGGAAGGATCCTTTTTTCTTTTTAATTTAAATTTTACGTGCGGTAGATGCCGAAATTGTAGTATCTTGTGTACGCGTGATAAAAGGTACAATGTTGGAAGAGGTCTCGGCAGGACTTAGCGCCTGACGGTCTGTCGGTCGTTCCGGCAAAAATGAAAGAAGCTCGTCGGTCCGAGCAGCTGATGGCGGCCGAGTGCTGTTTATATATATATAACTTTTATAGCTTTTAGAATGCATGCTTTTATTTTCTGAAATCATTTTTCTGTATTGACATAAAATCATTTTTATACTCTTTGTAACATATTCCTTGATATATATTGTATTAGATATATGTATAGATACACATGATATTACCGATCTACCGTCAAATAACGTTCCATACCTAACGATAGTTTACAAACTTTATTATTAAGAAACGCCATTACGTTATAAAAACGAAGTGCTTCCATAAACAGCGTATTTGTTACTCAGAATAACATACTTCGAAATCAATAACATAACTACAAAATTATGTTATTATACCGCATGGATTGTAGTTCAAGTTCTAGAAATCTAACCTTAAAATGTTCATAAAGCGTATTTGTTGATGTATATTTTGAAATTTGGAAAAGGTGATAAATATTATAAATATTTATAAATATTGCTTTCATATCTATTTCTTCATGTGCTCGATACCAAAGGCAAATGCTTTAAATTCCTTTACTCGATGTCCTGGATTATATTGTGGAAGGGAATTACTGCCTGATGGCAACTGGAGTGACTGTGGTGCATGCCCTCGAGGGTTCAGGGCAAACGCCACTTCGATATGTGTTTCTTGCGAAGACGAACCAATGCTCTATGATTGGTTCTATTTAGGATTTGTGGCATTATTGGTATTATTATTACATTGGGTTTGCATTGATATAATATCTATGAGACGTACTATACCAAAAAAAGTGTTTGCGTTACATTTGTCTGCTCTAGTAGAAGTTGTTTCTGCATCTGTGATTACTTTACAAGTAACCGATCCTGTAGGTAGTTTTGCAATTAGATCATGTAGAATTACAAAACTCTCAGACTGGTACACATTGTTTCACAATCCTAGCCCAAATTATGAAGAAACTCTGCACTGTACACAAGAAGCTGTTTATCCGTTGTTAGTAATTACATAATTATTCTATTTAATTATTTAATTTAGCTTTTTGTCTGAAAAATTAATTAATTGTTCAATCCTTAGGTACACAATGGTGTTCATTTTTTATGCTTTAGGGACAGCTATAATGTTAATAATAAGGCCAATTATAGCCAAGAAATTTTTACCAAAGAAAGGAAAATTTACAATTTATGCTGCTCTTTATTTCTATCCAATTTTAGCTTTATTACATGCAGTTGGCGGTGGTATAATATGTAAGTCAAGCAATTTACATTACCTTCCCCATAGTTTAAGGGTAATACCTTTCCCATATTTTATTAACTCTTATTTTTACAGATTATTCATTCCCATATATAACTATAACACTGTCTATACTATTTAATGCAGCACATTTTTCATTTAAATTAAATCAGGTAATGGTCTCTGTATATTGTTCATATTTACGTATATTTAAATACTAAATGTGTTTTATAAATGTTTCATGAAACTCTATCTTTCTTTCAGTCAATGAAAGCATTGTTGTTGAGCTGTGTATCAGATATAAAAAATGTAATAATTATTTTAAGTCATTGGATGTTATATGGATATGGTTTAGTAGCTGCTGCAACTTTCCGAGATCTCGGCATTCATCCAGCATTGATTGCTTTAGTTCCTTTACCTGCATTGTTTTATATTATTACTGTAAGATTCACAGATCCACATAAACTTCATTTAGAATAAATACAATTATAAAACCTATTATTAACATAATTATAATAAGTTGTCCCTTTATAAACAATAACTAATTGATTGTAGAATACTATGTTTTCAATGGATCACATTTAATTATATTTTTCACAAAAGCAGTACATAATTACTTATAATAAATGCCATTACATAAAGATCATAAGCAAGGGATTCTTATAGATCACTTGTAGACGTTTTTCTCTCGTACCTAATTTTGTGGAACAAATGTCAAAACAACTGTACTCTTGCCCGATATGGGAACTTTGTTAGAAGGCAGTTTTGTTCTGTAAAAAAATAAAGTTCATAAAAAACGATTGTTTATCACAATATTATAAAAGAAATTGATATTCTACGAAAAACACATAAAAATAAGTTAAATAATTGATGATAGTGAAATAACATTACTTTATTGTGTCGCTGTCTTGCACGTAATTAGGACTGTGTGCGACCATATTAACTTCGTCAGAAATCTGTGGTATTGTAGAAAAATCCACTACTGTAGGTTCTTCTGCTGATTGATACGCTACTAAGTATCCTGGATTGCCACTCTTTAACCTAGACATTTATTCAGTTTTAATATTCTTTTAATGAAGAACAAGAAAGAAAAATTGATTTAATTTTTGACAATGATAATTAAATTAATATTTTATATTATCAGTTATTAACTGGTGATTAGTCAAAATTGCTATTATTTACAATTAATTTTACAAAACGCAAGCCTCATGCAATATGTTAGTAAGATGACTCACCAGTTCCTGCGTTGCATAGAAGGAAGCGTGGAACAGGGCAAATTGATCTTTGGTTAGCAAATTATACAGTACAATTTGTGTCAATAGTGTGAGGTGTATGAGTTATTTGGAGTTTAAGTGTAGCATCAAAGGATAATTGAAATGATTTATAGCAATTGTGAATTAAGTTGATTGAACTTTCTTTGATATAGATTAATACTGCAATTACTGTTTTATTCTTCAAAGATTTTATACCATCCATTAATTTTCTGATACTATCCTCCTTTGTTTTAAGGTTATACTTAATGTGTAAATGGATAAACATACAATACTGAAATAAGTAAAAATACTATTACATTACCTTGTATAAACAAATACGCTTCCATTGACAGTCTTAAGCATTGTCTCTCCATGAAGAAACGTTAAGCTATGTCGCGTTTTACATAAAGTCGCAAAGGCGTCTTTTGCAGACAAAGTATCATTCAATTTTAATACAGGTGTTCCAGGTAAAAGTAATGTCATAAGTGCTAAACTGTCTGCTATATCTGCAGGCATTCTCTCCCTCAAACTGAGGTTTCTACCGTTAATCTAGAATGTAATATGATAATATAATATATATTTTAAAATATACATCTTGTAGAGACTTACATCCCAAGCAGGCCAGGAAGTAAAATTAAGCCAGTGGGAAAAGCCACGCTGTAAAGTCGTGGCATCTATATTGCTATCTGCAGTTGTAAGAAATTGTGAATTTTGTGGAAGATCAATCAGCCTCTTATTCTCATTATAAACTTGTAGAATGTCAGTTCCAATATCATCTTGGAGGGCAAAGAACCTGGACAAACATTTTGTTATGGAACTTTGCTCGAAAGGAAGACTGAATATGCAAGCTACTACTATAATTATTAAAGATAATTAACCCTTTTTTGCGTGTTTCATTATGAACTCTTTCTTGCCATTTTGCCAGAACAACACCATTTTCTGGCCGATCTCTTGTATAAGCATGTACTAATGAATCATAGTTATCTGCCTCAGTAGGTATAGTGCTCCTAAATTCATCATGAAGATCTGGATCCACAGTTAAATACTGAGTATTAGCTAAACGGAATCCACTGATCCCTAATTTTAACCAATGACTCAAAATATCCTAAGCATTAAAAGTTAAGTATTATCGAATTTATTTTTTACATTTATTTTTTAATCAGCATATAAGAGAAGCAATGACAAAATAACTTACTGAAAATTCTGTAACTACTACTGGATTATTGTAATTTAATTCAGGTTGTGTTGTTTTGAAATGATGAAGGTAATATTGTTCTCTTTGTTCGTTCCATTCCCATGCTGATCCTCCATGTACACTTAGCTAAAATAATTCGTATTATAGAAATACTACAAAGATACAGGGCAATTTTAACTTGAAAATAAATATAACTAACCCAATTATTAGGTGGAGTACGTTTGCCATCGGTAGTTATTTTTGCATCTGCCCAAACGTAGTAAGATGAGAATGGTTCTTCTCTCTCTATAGAGCGTTTGAACCATGGATGTTCAGTTGATGTATGACTTGGATCTAATTCTAAAATGATATATTGTTCTTGACTTTTGGCAGCTTTGACAAGAGCCTCCAGATCACTTGTAGTTCCTAATTCTGGTTTAATGTTTTTGAAGTCTTCTGTTCCCCCTATGATTTAAAATGCAATATATTAATATCTGTTGCCATACTAGAGTAAAAAACTACCTGTAGCAGCTGTTGTATATGTACCTGTTGAACTTTCTTTAACCGTGGAAGCTAGAGAAATTGCATCTATATATTGTGTTTTCAAAATATCTAACAAAGATTCTATGCCTTTCAAATCATGAGTGCTTGTTTCAACAGGATCTAATTGTACAATAGCACTCCTTTCCCACCAATTTTTGGGTTCTGGTGCTGCACACTTTGGTGCCATTATCACAATAGCTATAGCACCAGCTAACATGGCAAACCAAAGTACCCAGAAAGAAATGAATAAAAACCATCTTAATTTAATCCAGAATGGGGAATTAGCAAATTCCATGAGTTCCTCTTTTCCCATTCCAGAAAGAGTTTGTTTGACTGTCTCAATATCGATCTTGGTATCTCCATTTTCAGAAATAAATTTTACCTACTCAAAATAATCGTATGTTACATATAAAATCAACAGACATTTAATGCATGTATTTCTCTTGAATGTTAATGAATCACAATTATTTCCACAGGTAATTCCATGATCTATCTTTCCTCTTCATGATGGTATGATGCAATAGTAAAAGATTCTTACTTTCGAATAACAAATGTAATACAATGTCGGAAAAATATAGAATACATAAAAACATATGATAATAAAATTTGAAAATCATTCGAAAGCAGATCAATTGACTTTTATTATTGAACAAAAAAAACTTTCAATCAAGATAAAAATAGTAATTAGCTATTAATTATATTTGAATAAAATAGAATAATAAAACAATAATAGTGATAAAAAGGAGATGGATATCTTTAAGTACGAATAGAGGTATCTTTTATTGATCGTATAAAGATTATACGTGACTTCCAAAAATGTGCTCGTTAACATACCTCGGTTGTATCTTTCATAGGAGAGATTTTACTCTCATCTTTAAGCATCTTTTCGTGGACCCCATCGTCGGTATCGTTTTCATTACTTGCTTTTCCCATGTTTTCAATTTTATCTTGTACACTTCCTTCCTCGTCCGACAACGCCTTGTATGTGGCGACAACTACCGTTTCTTTCGCGTTCCCGTTAGCTTCGATATTATCTGAATTCAACCTCCCACTCTCCATTATTACTATCGCACAATACCAAGGACGTTAAACGATCTTATATGGCGGGGATGCGTGAAAATTTTTCTCTACTTAATGAATTTTCGATGGATTTTCGACTCCGTAAGGTTCAAGAACGACTGGACAGACGCCTTCTACCCCATAGAGAAATCTAGTTGGTTCTTACTCTCCTTTTGTCCCTGCTAGTATTTACTTATACTACCACAAGCATAGGGTATAAAGTAAAATCAGGGACGACCTTCGTCCCTCAAAATTACCGTGACTTTACTAAGTATTTTAGAACAATATTTGTGATTTATAATATGTTCTACAAATTAAAGAATATCCAGAATTTTCTAATGTACTAAATAAATATCCCTTATTTAGATTGTAATACTTCGGTGGAGATTTATGTTTATGCATCGTACTAAAAAATGTTAGTAAATTATAAGAAAATTAAAAAGAAAAATTTGATTAGAAATTAAGACATCCCTTCAAAAAACTTATGATTAAAAAAATATTATTTTGTAGATAAAATTACTAAAGAATTTTAATTAAAAGTTAGTTTGCATAGGGTTCTTTACTGCCATAATCCAGAACTGATTTAATTCTCCCCTTTCGATCGGATGTTTCAACGACGAATAGAATACTTGGGTTGAGAAATAGCGCGAAAGATATTTCGTTGATTATTTACACCTTTTGTATAACAAACAAATTTATTAGATACTTTAATATTATAATCGAAAAATATTTAGAAAATATTTTCAGATGTAAATAATATATAAAGTTTTCTATATATTCATATATAAGAATGATAAATAGTACTGTATACATGATTTTCTTAACATTTCTCATATTTAACATTTAAAGGTTTTAGAAGTATTTTGATCTGTATCCTTCTGCTTAACGCTTTGTTAACGTAAGCAAGGAATTAAACGATTATCTTATATTTTGATGATAGCACGAAAAATATACTATCTTTATGGACACATCGATTTTTTATTTATTGACTTATTCAGTAACATCCGATTAGAGATCCTGAACACGTTGTTCGTATTATGTTGGTGTCTGGAAAATTTACTGAAACAACGAGGGATTAAGGCGGTTACATAATTTGAGATACCGATTCTAGGGTGAGCAAAATTCATAATTTCTGTTCAAATACTTACTGTATCTGTTATATTTATAGTAGCATCGTAGCATGGTTTCCATGCAAAACAGCAGTGAAATAAAATAGATAAAATAATCATTACTATCAACAATGCCCATAAAAACCAAAATATACACAAACGAATATTCATACACATTGGATCGATTCGGTGGTATCTAAAATTATCGCTTGCTGATCCTAAAAAATAGTCTTTTTATACGCCTTTTAATAATATTTTTTGTAATTCTATAAATTTTAACTGTAATTTAACACTGATAAATATCTTTTACATATTTTTTCAAATTCGCACGAGTTATCGACCGAATCTAGATTCGATATCTTAATTTATAAACTTCCGGTCTCGAAATGCATGTTGCATATAGCATACGGATGCGCGAGCACATGCCTTATGATTGGTCCAATTTAAATTTCAGATTTCGTACGAACATTGTTCGTTGTCATTTTACAATTAGTTGCGTGAATATTTTCCATTTCGTGAATAGTGATGCCAAACCTGTGTCTTGTAATTTTTCGTTAGATCCATCGATTTGTATAGCCTCGTACGTCGATGCACGGCAGGGAAGGTGAGTAGTATCTGTTGATTCCATTGTTATAAATTCCTTCTGATCCGCTTGGTACTCTTCACTATGCCAAAAACCAACTAACGGATTTTTCGCATCATTACTTTTTCCGCTGCACGTTCGTTTGCTTCCCGATATGATAGGAATATTTATGTTTACACAAGTGGGGCACGATTTAGGCTGACCATTAACGATCGATGTTATAAAACAACGATTCTGCGACATTCTGTTCCCGATAAATATAGACACAACGAGATAACAATTGAATGGTGAAATTTCTTTTGTCGCCCCTATTATTGTTTGCCTTTCGTTCTTATCTTACGGGAGATACGTTAGACTTGATTCAACATATTTGCGTCCGTTCGAAGTCCTGTCGCCCTGATTAACAGGGAACCGGTACATATTGATAAACTGAGTCACAGATATATATATCTAAATATATCCAACTAATTATAAACGCACTGTTTGTGGCCACGAACTTAATAAACGATATATTTTCTCTGTTTACAAGGCAACGAATTGTTTGACAATTTCTTATATTTCTTATATGTATTTTGCCTTACTTCACACTCGTTTCTTCACACACATTTACGTATTGTAAACAATGATGATATTAAACTCATGCCGTTGCTATAATTATACCAGCAAGAGTAAGGTTCTACTCATGATTTTAGTACAGATACAACTGGCTTCTAAATGAGACATTCACTTGGGACCATTGCTTAGCTTATTATGAGTCATTCAACACATTCGTTGCTTCATGAATGTATTTGAACAGAGGGAGTATTTGTGTTGTCATTAATATAAATTATAGCAGCACTTCATAACCATAATGTTAACATCTGAGGACAATGACTCTCTTGACAAAAATAGACTTCCTATTTATAGGATATACTTATATACTAATTCATGTAAAGCAGGGTGAATTGAACATACATTTGCTGTTACTTTAGACAAAACCTCTTATTAATATAGGAACGCACAATTACTAATTATAATCGCTTTATATAAGTTCATAACTAAAATTTTTATTCTACAAAATTGGGATCATTGAAACGTTAAAATATTCAATAACACTACTGCGATGCTTATACTTGTTATTAACCATGTTACTGAGGAGGAAATAACGGCAGAATTTTTCTTTGTTGTAGATTCAGGAGTCGAAGGAGTTGTACTAGTTCCTCCGGGTTCCTCAGCTTTCAGGACAAATGCGGCATTTGCTGTGAGTATAACATTTTGTGTCGAAATATTTGACCTAAAAAGTGGAATTAAATATCCCGAGTTATCCTCGCGCATTGGGCAGTTAATCCGTTTTGATATAAGACATACGCTTACGTAATGTTAACTGCATTACTGGATGCGATAACAATTTCTACCGGATCTTTTAAGTTCGGATACACCGACATTAGATTAACTGTTTCTTGTCGTAGACCCAAGTTAATAACAATGATATATGTAGGATTGTTTGCTAAAGATCTAATAAAAAATAATATTAGATACTTATTGAATATGTAATGTAATGTATTAAATATAACATATATATAAAAGTAAATAAATAAATAAATAAATAAATACATACATATATATATATATATATATATGTATATATATATATATATATTTACTTATTTTTGATATTCTATAATTTTTATAATTTTGAATATTACATATATGTACGTCATTGTGTTACAAACCTTTTAAAGATAAATACGCGGTCATTGTTTAAGGTTGCGAATTCATAATCTCCATGAGTGAATACTTTATCTTTTCTAAGAGTAGCAAGTGATTTATATGTCTTCAAATTGCTCTGTGAACTTTTTAGTTGTGCTTTGACGTTTCTTTCTATATAATCTGGATGAACAGGAAGATATGTAATTTTATTAGATGAAAATCCTGCTGATGTACTAGAGTTCCATTGCATTGGTGTTCTTGCAGGATCTCTGGAATAATTTCCAAATATTTCCTTCGATCTCGAACAACCCATAGGGTCGATTGTTTCATTCCATGACATCTTCCTGTCTAACATTCCAATCTCTTCTCCATAGTAAGTATATGCTTGACCAGGTAACAGTAGACTAAGCATATGAAGTCCATCGACGCGATTCAATCCAATTCTTGAGGCTGCTCTTGAAGTATCATGATTGGAAAGCTAGAATTGGAAGAACAGACGTATCTACTTAAATCTTAGGCAAACAATGGGAGATGATCGTAGCAAAATATGTGCCTTACCACCCAATTTGTGTTTGCTTTGTTTGGAAGTTTTTTAAACCAGTCTTCCAGAACATTTTTAATATGTTCAGCAGTGCTTGTATTCTGAACAGAAGTAATAAACCGGAAATTAAAGGGTGTTATTCCATTGTGCGTAGCATTACCATAAAGCGATATCAACACTTCATCAGAGTCATAAGACTCTGCAATTAATAATCTGTGAATTAACAATTGCAATATTTTAATATAAATACTACGGAATAAGTTAAAGTCAAATTTGTGATATCTCTATACATACTTTGAAGGAGCTTTGTTCTTTTTTACCCAATTATCAATATATGAACGAAACTTGTATACAAGATCTGTGCTCTCTGGCAGACCAGATGTGTAGGTTCCATTCCCTGCAACAGGCTCGTTTTTTAAATCCTTATCTTCATAAAGATACGATACTGCGCCAATTCGAAAACCATCAACTTTTCTCTTCAGCCAAAAGTTGAACACATCCTGAAATATGTAAATAAGGTTTTAAGCATACATTAACTTCTTATTGAATTACAAAATACAATATTATCATAATATTAATACTTTACCAATAATTCTTGTATCACATCTTTATTTCTCAAATTGAGGTCAGGTTGAGATTTGTGAAATTTATGGTAATACCATTGCTGCCTTGTATCGTGCCATGTCCATGCTGATCCCTCTTTGTCACTGTAGGTGCTTATCTAAATTAAATGAGAGCATTAGCAGGCATTTGTCAAAATTGTTTCAAGGATCAATAATTATTTACCCAGTTATTAGGTGGTATCTTGTTGCCATTTTGATCTTTGGAACCGTTTGCCCAAATGTAGTAATCATTGTATTGCTTATTATTTTGACTTGACAGCAGAAACCATTTATGTTGGTCGCTTGAATGATTTGGTACTATGTCTAAAATGACCTTCAGGTCTGCAATAATTTATGTCACTTAAAAAATTGATACATATTCAATGAAAAAAATGTCACTAACTACTGACGCATACCACGTTTATGTGCTTGTTCTACGAACTCGTCGAAGAGCTGGAGATTACCAAACAATGGATTTATCTCGGTAAAATCAGAAATATCGTATCCAGAATCTTTCAGTGGTGATGGGTAGATAGGATTCAGCCAAATTGTATCGATTCCAAGCTCTTGTAAATAATCCAGCCGGTTGGTTATACCTATGTAACATTCGATATTTATTTCATTAACTATGAATTAAAAATGTGAATTAAAAGTTAGAGATATGATATTGAGGTTAGATATTACTAACATATCGTGTTCAAAATTTAGACAAATATTTTCACCACGTGCTTTTTATTTACGTATATTCCGTAGAAAGATGTCGTCAAAGTCACCTCATCGTGTTTACCATAAATTCAGTGAGACCAATCAATTGAAAAACTATTCCCATCGAGCGATAAATTGATTCTGCGTTATCAATGGCACACGGGAAGTCTGAAGTAACTTCGGTTGGTACCTTGACCAACAAGCGATAAACGAGCTCAGCCGTAACACAACTCCGAACGCGAAGCTAATTCTTCACTCGTTTAGCATTTACGATACGCTGCCAATAGCTTTAAAAATAGATTTACGAGGCTATGAAATTTCACGACCATTGTACAGGCCTTATGTTACATTTATCTAAATTTTCATTTTTACATGCGCGACTCGTTTTGTATATCTCAAGTCAAACGATACGAACATTCGTATAGAAGCTGCCCCGTTTATAATTTAAAACGCAAAATTTTCAAACGCAATATCTCACTATGGATAACAGTTATTTTCACTACGAACTTCGATAACGATACTAAGAAAATAATTATCTTTTTTTTTTTCGTTACATGCACTCACTATCGAACACGACACTTTTCGGTTTATCGAATTTACGATTTATTTCCTATTTACGATATCCACGACGACTAGAAACTACATATTTATGCACGTTCATATTTTTACCAACAAAACTAAATATTACAACGAGTATTCTACTTCCCATAATATTTTATACACACTTTCCCGCGTTCCGTGCATCTCCCATACGCATAAATACCCGGAATGTAGAAACCACAACGATCAAACACACCTGTAGATTCCAATTTCCGGTTCATAACGTACCCTTCAAGTCACCCTCGCCATCTCCATCGCTATCCTGAAATCCTCTCGGCCAGATTTGATAGACCAAAGCGGTTTCCCACCATTGTTTGTCCACCAACTGGGAACTTGTCGATCCCACGGCCAGGAGCCCGAAAACCAACAGTAGAATTCCACGGGATTGATGCATTTCGTCGATCGATGTACAAAACCCGACTCTCGATACGCGAATTCGTCCTGTTATATATATTTTTGGCAGAAACCAGGTTATCGCTTTATCTGCCGTTATCACGATGATTCCGGTGTCCTTATCGCGCTTATTCCTTCCTCCATATATACTGAAAACGCGTCATTGTTTACGTTAAGAATAGAGAATAGAGATGTTCCTTTAATTCCTGTCGCTGTTCGTGGCGGATCACCGACCGCGATAGTAGTTTTTGTTTGAGCAAAGAAAGAGGAAAATCTAGTACCGATTATATCGAGAAAAGGGGTGTAATTGTAAATTGTGTCGGCCATAACAAGATTAGGATATTTGGCGTGTCTAGACAAGATATGATATTTAATACAAAGCCGATGTATTTCTCCCTGCTTTTTTATTGGGTCATCTCGCAAGCAAAGAGTAAGAGTTACGCATTAAAATTGAAAAAGTGGGAACGTCACTTATTTAAGATAGCAGCGATCGTTTAGTAAAAGTAGGGCGACACGTTCGTCTTAAAAAGCTTCGCCTTAACAGGGGAAACCGTATCGAAACTAGCTGATCATACTTTTGTTTATTATTTCTCCCGTACTCGTGATTTTAAACGTTTTTCACGGCATTTATGATTATTATTCCTGATCAGACATTTTAATCAAAGGAACTTGCAGCGAGCCGAAACTGCATCGTTTTCACCCTAGCAAATTCACACAACGAAATATATTTTCTGCAACAATTTTATCTGCCTCAGGTATTTTCCTAAACGTCGCAATTTTCGTATTTTACACGAAAACTTCCTATGCGAAGATCAG